ATGAGTTAGGATATTCCTTTTGCTTCTGTTTTCTGGAAGAAATTATAGTGAATTGACATAATATCTTCCTTAAGTGTTTGGTAGAATTCACCAGTGAACCCATATGGGCCTTACCTTATGCTTTCTGTTTAGAAGGTTACTTATTGGTGATTTAACTTCTTTAAGAGATAGGGGCCTATTATATGATATATTTCTTCATATGAGTCTTAGCACATTGTGTTTTGCAAACAATTGATCCATTTTATTTAAGCTTTCAAATTTGTGGGCATAGAGTTATACATAGCATTCTTTTATTTATTTTTTTGTAGTGCTGGGGACTGTACCTAGGTCCTCATGCATACTAGGTAAGCACCCTACCACTGAGCTACACACCCAACCCTATTGTTCTTTAAACTCCATGGAACCTGTTGTGATGTCCTCATTTATTTTTCATATTAATAATTAATTAATAATTTCCTTTCTTTTTTCTTAGTTACTTTGGATAAAGTTTCTCAAATAACTGCTTTTTGGTTTTGTTGATTTTTCTTTATTGTTTCACTATTTCAATTTAATTGATATCTGATCTACTTTCTGTTATTTCTTTTCTTCTGCTTATTTTGGATTTAATTTGCTCTTCTGCTTCCAGTTTCCTGAGTTGGAAGCTTAGGTGACTGATCTTAGATTTTTCTTCTTTTCTAATATATGCATTGAATGCTCTACATTTCACTGCTCGCATTAATAACGTGTTACAGTGCTGTGGTGCTCTTTCTTAGCTTACCTTGTCCATCTGTTCTTGCATGCTGTCTACTTTATCCATTAGCACACTTTTCATCTTCATCAGAATTCTTTTAAATTCCTGGTCTGGTAACTCCAACCTCTCTGCCGTTAAGTCTGGTTTTGGTGCTTGCTCTGTCTCTTCAGAGCTATTTTTTTCCTTTATAGTAGTTCTTGTAAATTTTTCTTATTTGCCAGATGTGATGTATTAGATAACAGAAACATCTGTGGATAGGTATTTAGTAATGTGGCTGTAAGATCCGGGGAGAGGGGAAGAGCTCTACAGTGCTATGAAACTTCAGGTTTTAGGGGGCCTGTACCTATGGGCTGTGAACTCTGTTTCTCAGCCCACCTCTCCTCCCCTGCAGGGTGAGGATAAAGTGATGGATAAAATGAACTGGAGCTGGGATTCCCCTTCTTATAGATGGAAAGCAAGAGAGGGCTGGAGTTGGATGTTTCCCTTCCCCCAGGTCAGTTAGGCTTTGATAAAACCCAGCCATTTCAGTTCTAGTTAAATATCTTCTCTTGAGGGCAGATCCTCTATTAAGAACAGAGTGCTCTGGAGTATTAAAAAATGTTTCATTTTTCTCTCTCCCTGCTGAAAGCATGGGAGAATTTTCCTCCAATAGACACTGTGAGAATCTGGTTGAACTCCCGAGGTAAAATTCACACAAGTGTGTGAGTCCTGATGGCTGAGTCTCCCTGGAGTTCTTAATCTCTTGGACTTGTCTGCACGGAGGCTCCAGCAATTCATTAGCTGTGGTTCAGGTTTCCCCACCTTGGCACTGCTTCTTGTGGCTTGTGCTGGCGGCTTTCTCATCTGCCTGCCAGTCTCTCTAGTCTTGGAAGTAGTGGTTTGCCCCATGACCTCACTTTTCTGATAAGTCTAAAGAAAGCTGTTGATTTTTCAGTTTGTTTATTTTTTTACTTGTTAGGAAAAAATTACAACTTTCAGCTTTTTTGCAGGACTGAAAATTGGAAATCCCCTAATAATTTATTTTTAAAATTTATAGCCTTGGATTTCATCATAATCTAAATAGTCATAGTTTCTTCTGACCTTTAAGGAAGTTAGTTTTGGAATAATCTGCAAGCTCATATTATATAAATACATGCAGAATATTTGAGTGTCTTCGAATTTTCACTCATCTTTTCATATTGTTAGTCATACCATGCTGAGTTTTCCCAATGCAGTATCTTTTGGATTGATTCTTTTTGCCTGCTTTAAACAGACTGTAGTCTACGAGTATTGCTATATACTAATAGTTCTTCCTGCTTTTAGTCTCCTCATTCCTAACATATTGCAAACACATTAAGCTTAAAGCTACATTTTCATCATATAACTTTCTGCAATTGCTTTCTATGTTTCCCTTTGTATTATAGAAGATGGTCAAAATTTCTGCAACCAGTATTCCAGGTACTCTATGTCTGGCCCTGTGACCTTTAACACGCTGTAACCTCTAAATTCAACCCCACTGTGGACCCCACCCAGTAAAGCTGACTGCAGGCTACATTTTTGCTCTGCCACCTAGATCTCTGTTGGGTTGGCCAGTAGGGGTGCTAGAGAGACACTGGTACTGTGGAGGTGGAGAAGGAACTTGCTGCTGTCTCCTTTGCTTCCTGTTTGCTGTTCCTGTGAGTGTAGCTCCAGACTCTTTGTTATTGTTGTTTGCTTGTCTTTTCATGGTGACATCCTTAGTTCCTTCCCACGGTAGTAACTGAATCCAGTTTGCCATTGTCTTCAGACTTGCAGAACCAATCTCATTGAATTCTCTCAGAGACTCCAGCTTCAGCCCCTCTTGTGAGGTTTGGCATCCAAGCACAGGAATATCTTGCTTTAAGCTATTACATCTCAATAGTTCCTGTTCCATTGGTCTTCCAATCCTATGGGTGAGAAATGTTTCCTGCAGTGCCATGATATCTTGGCATTCTCTTTTTTACCCTTTCACATACTAAATAACTTTATACTTATTTAATACTTCTCTATACGAATTCTCTGTGTTGAAATAATTAGTGAGGTTTCTGACTCTTTATTAGGCCCTTACTGATACAGGCACTGTGTTAGTTACTTTTCTCATTGCTGAAACAAAATATCCAACACCCAAAAGTTAAGGGAGGAAAGGTTTATTTAGCTCACATTTTGTAGCGGTTTTAGTCCATAGTTGGATGACTCTAAAGCACAGTGGCATGGCAGGGGAGCATCACAGAGGAGAAACAGTTCATGGCAGGCAGAAGACAACAAAAGTGAGCAGGAAAGCAACAAATGACAATAGCATTTTCCTACCCCTTTTATATTCTATCTGGACTACCTAGCTTAGGGTAGGTGCCAAACCAATCAGTGGACTAATTTAGTAATCACATACTCTTAATTCAAGCATCCTTAACCTTAACATTGCATGAATCAACCCCATGTCACACACTCTGACCCAGTCACCTCTAAAAAGCCCTACCTATGACCGTGTGAGGCTTTGGGAAGGCATCCATACACAATCCATAACAGGCACTAAACTATGGTTACAGCTATTTAAATTCTATTTTCCGTTGTAATCAGGGTTATAAGGGAAAAGATTTAATACAGGACACAAAATTTATAGGATTATTTCATAATATTCGCCCAAAGAGTCAAATGCAGAAGAGTACGGGAGACCTGTCCACAAACTAGAGACCCAAAGAATGCCACTCAGGGCCTGAATCCCTAGGCAACGTTCTGCATGAATTCAGCTGAAGCACTAGAGCCGATGGCAATGTCCTCCACAAGTCCAGCTGGAGGTCTAGAGCCTATGGCAATGTCTCATTCATTGGGAAGGCCCAAAGGTCAGTGGTGGAAGCTAGAAAGTCTGCACTAGCAGGATGACGGATCTGTGTCAGCAGGCTGAGGGATCTGCACTCGAGCCAGAAAGCAATGCTCAAGGTAAGGACCAGAGCTCCCCCAGAGAGAACTACAGCCATCCTCAGTGACACCAAGGACCCACGTTGCTCCAATGATGAGAGCATCTGACTTCATATCAGTAAAACCAGCACAACAAGCTTCTCCAGGAGAATCAACAGTGCACCATCTTCCCCTCCAGTTCTCTTTTTATATTGTTGGCAGCAATCCCCAGGTGGGCCTTCCACACCACCACCATGCTGACTCAGTTCAGCTGGTTGTTACAAGCTGACCAGTAGTTAATACACCACATTCCCAAAGCAGACCCTACGTTTTGATGAGAAAAAGACCACTAATTGAATTTTTCCCTTTCCCAACTTTGAAAGCTTGTTTGTAGCACACTCTACCTATAAAAGCTATCTAACTTCCACCATTCCAAATCTTGTCTTCCATAGCCCAAGTGAAGCCCATCCCTAGTCTTCTAAAGTGATCTCTTACTTCAGTCCACAGTTCTCTCTCCCTGGCTTAGACATCTCATCTGACACTTAGTCCCATACTGATAGCCTCCCCTGTGCCCATCTGACCATTATCCTACAAATATGCTGCATTCCACAGGTTTGTTTGTAAGTCAGTTTGTTAAGAACCTTATGTATTTTCCTGTAGGAATAATGTTATACATGGTGGTCAAGGCAATGCTGAAATGTCACAGTGATTTTTATTCTAGTTCATGTGAGTCTGTTTAACTCATAGCAGAACATCATTGTAAAGATTCAGGACTGGAACCTAAGAGAAATGTGTACTAATGTGTTTTGAAAAGTTTGATGCAAAGCACTATACTAATAAGGGGTTCTGCCCATGAGAATAGGGCACCTTTGGTTCTAGTGAAGATTCAGCAGCAGTAACTCCTACTGATTTGCTTTAGAAAGAGCGAGTTGAAAGCCCTGGTGGCAGGGAGGTTGGGATGCTTATTTGTTTGAATGTTGGAGTTTTTAGGTCAGGGCCAGAAACACCTACAGGTTGGGACCTTTCTATGTGATCCTTCCTTGCCAGCCTTCTGGAAGGACAGCACTGTATCTTGTTTTCAGTTCTTACACTGTGCTGGGCACAATCCGTTAGGCCTAGTTTTCCCAAATATGTCTCCTGAATTTAGGCTATTTCTGAAAAATAGGATCCATTACCCAGGTAAGAATATTCTACCTACTGAAAATGCAGCTAAACTTCTTTTTAAACATGCAGCATCATTAATATTAGGGTTTAAATTTATAATTAAAAAAACTCAAAAACTTCCCCAAGGCAAAGAGGGGGAAAGGGGATTGGAGTTGCCCTCAACCAGAACATCCTTCTGAGAATCTGAAACACATTGGTCAATTTTATCATATAACAGGTGCATGATAGCCATGGGATCCACTGATCAACTTGCATTCAAAATCCAGTTACATTATTTTCCATTAGGTAAGTTACTTGAAGGTAATTATTTGAATTTTAGTTTCCTCATTTATAACATGGTGTTAGTGATGTTAAATCATGGAATTTTTTTGAAACATACAAAATATAACATTTAAGGTTCATGCTGGGCATGGTGGTGCACGGCTGTAATTCCAGGGAGGCTAAAGCAGGAGGATTGTTGTGAGTTCAAGACCAGCCTGGGCTACAAATTGAGCTCAAGGCCAGCCTGAACTGCATAGTGAGACCCTGTCTCAAAGAGACAAACAAAACAAAACAAAACAAAAAACATGTTAGGTGCCTGGTGTAGATTCTGGCCTCTAGTAGGTTTTCATGTATGTATGTAATATTAATTCCTTTTCCTTTTCCTCCCCACCGCTCCTCTCTCATCTTCTCTCCTCTCCTCTCCTTTCTTTTCCTTCCTTTTCCTTCCTTTCCCTTTCCTTTCCTTTCCAAAATAAACTTATTTCTGTCTGAGTTCAATAAGACATCCACTAGTAGGGTGAACTGTGAGTCAAGGCCTGAAAACTGCACAAAATCACATAAGGAGGAGGCTTTGAGGATACACATAATGTTTTTGTTGTCTTTTGTTCCTGTCCTCACTTTGTGTGTGTGTTTTCAGAATTCAAGACTTTAATAATAATTTCCAAGGAGGCTACAATTGATGTAAAAAAGAAAGATAAGCTATAATGCTAATTTTACATAGGTATACTAACTATATATTTTAGATAATCTCAAAATAATTCTTATCAAAAGTAATATTTATCAAATAACATGAACACAACAATTCTTGGACAAAAATAAAAATGGTCTTTTGCCTTCCTGCCTTCCTAAGTAGACTGCTCATTTAAATATATGTAACTGAAATTTGTTGTTAAATTTAAAAAATACAAAACAAGCATGCTGTTATAAACCAGTTTTAATCATAATTATAGTGTTTTATCTTTTAGAAGTTATTTATAAGACCACTTTAATATGATCTATATTTATGTATTTATTTTGACCCGTTCCTAGTTTTTCCTAAATTAGACAAGCCCTTAAAACTTCTTTTATTTTAAAATTTAATTAAACTATTTTTAAAAATTCATAAGATGGCATATAGTTATGTGTATAACATGATGTTTGATGTATGTTTACATCGTGGAATGGCTAATTCAAGCTATTTAACATTGTGTTACCTCACATATGAGCTGTGATCAAAACATATAATGAATGTTTAAATTACAAATTTATTGCATTAAAAGATACATTGCCATTAATCCCCCTCTTCACTTTGAACACACATTTGCTATTGTTTTTGCCACTTTCTGAATCAGTTCTAGAAATCCTCTTTTGTGAATGTCTTTATTTGTGCTGTTATGGTTGCCTGGAGGTCCTGAATCAGTTTAAAACATTTGCCTTTCATGGTCATTTTGACTTTAGGGCCAGAAGTTCCACAGTGCCAGATCCAGTGAGTAAGATGGATAAGGATGCACCATAATAAGGATGCTATGAGTCTACTTTTCCATTGGGTGGCACTTGGTAGCAGCATTTACTGTATTTTTTTTATCATACCTTGTAAAGACACTTAGGAAAGAGGACTTACAGAACTGCTTTGGAAGTGGCAATAATGAATGAACATGTGCTTGAAAAGAGAGGGATTAATAGCAATTTGTCTTTTACTGTAATAAAATTTTAAAATTTAAACATTCACCATATATTTTGATCACCTGTTTGTATTTATCATTTTCTTTGCGATAGGAAAACTCAAATCTTCTGTCCTAGAGTATACAATATGTTACTCCTTACTATAGTCTCCTCAATGTACAATAGACTGCTTGACCTTACTCCTTTTGTATAACTAAAATTTTGTATCGTTTGATTAACACTTCTCCATTTCTTCTGCCCCAAACCTTTGGTAACCACTATTTTTATTCTATGCTTCTATAAGTTTGACTTTTGACTTTTTGTATTCTTCATATAGGTGAAATCACGTGGTATTTGTCTTCATGTTCCTGCCTTATTTCACTTAGTATAATGTCCCCCAGGTTCATATATGTGGTAGTAGATGGTAAGATTTCTTTAAAAATTGGGGCTGAATGGTAAATACCATGGACTCTTAACTTATGAACTCAATTTGTTTGCAAGGGATGGTTATAACTCAAGTTGGCTGTAAGTCAAGACTTTTTCCCATAAGAAATAATGGAAATACCCATAATGCGTTCTGAACCTCCCTAAGCACCCCTTAACTAACCTTTTAACAATAAAAGGGGTTGCATAATGTGCATATAATTTACCAGAAACACCAATAATTTTCCTAGTGTATTCACCAAAAAGTTATGAAATGTTTCTAGTTTACTAGAAACAATAATTTCATACTATACTCACCGGCAGGGAGGATGAAATGGAAGGTTGTTATTGTTCGGAAGGAGAGTCCCCTTCCATAAGAACACCAGGAATATGGCTCTGTGGTGTCCTTTCTCTCCTCGGGAGAGTCTGTAGCCCACCAGGACCTGCTTCTGGCTCACTAGGTCTCAGCCTTTTCAGAACTAAACACTGGTCTGAGGTTGTCTGTTTCTGTCTTTTCTTTAACACTGCTCTGTAGTATGACATGACATTGTCATTAAGCAAGTGAAAGCAGCAATTGGCTTTTTTCTGTCTGAGTGGATCTTCTCTACAAATGTTTGCAGCTCTGTGCATTTTTTCAGGATTTCCTTTACTTCAGAAGAACTTTGCTGCATGGATTGGTGATACTCCCCCTCCTCTTCAAAAAGCTCCGCAGCTGCTATTCTCTGTTGCTCAGTCTGAAGTTGCTGAAGTTCCTCTGTAGACAGTTCCTCTGGGTGTTCCTCCACCACTTCCTCAGCATCACCACTGTCTGCCTGCAAACCCATGGACTCTGCTTATAGTGACAATGTCATCAACCATAGGGTCAATTGAAGCCTAAGTCTCCTCTACACAGCCTTAAAAATCTCTCTCCTTTATAATTTTAGACCACACTTTCTTCCAAGCATATCTGTGTCCCTAAAGAGACATTGGTCCAGGATTTCTCAATTAACCTCACACAGGAAGCAATGTTAGAATGTTTCATCCAGAACTCTTTAAGGGTTAAATCTGTATCTGAGATCATCTAAAAGCACTTCAGGAACAATTTCTTGGTGTATAGCTTCTTAAAGTTAGCTATCACCTGCTGGTGCATAGGCTGCAGTAGAGGAGTTGTATTATGTGGGAGGAACTCAAGTTGGAGCCATGGAAATTCTTCAACCAATTCTTCTTCCAAATCTCATGGGTGTGTGGAGCATTGTCCACACAAGGAGAGCCTTGAGTGGCAAACTTTTGTCTGCTAGATATTTCTTAATAGTGGGAGAGAAAGCCTCCCTGATCCAATCAAGAAAAAGTACTCTTGTTACCAAGGCTTTTGCATTAGATCTCCACATGACTCTTAGCCTATTCTTCATGACTTTGTATTTTCTTAACACTCTAGGGGGTCGCAGAGTGATAAACCAAGAGTGGCTTTTTCTTGATGTCACCACGTGCACTGGCACATAGCAATAAAGTTAGCCTATCTTTCATAGGCTTTTGTCCTGGCATTTTCTTCTCTTCCTGGACAATGTATGTTCTCCTGGGCTTTTTCTTCCAGAAAAGGCCAGTTTTATCACAGTTGAAAACTTGATGAGAGTAAAAGCCATTTCTTGTGTCATCATTTAGAAGTGATGTATATAATTTTAAGCAACCCTTTTATCACCACTGTCTGCTTCACCATACCTAGTTATGCTATGAACTCCAGTTTTCTCCTTAAAATTGTAAACCCACCCCTTACTGGCATGAAATGTTTCACCATTATCACTTGTTGATAGATTATCCTTTTTGAGATCTACATTTATAGCCCTGGCTTTTTCAGAAACTCAGGCTATATCCTGTGATCTGCCCTTCATTTATCTACACTAATAACAGCCTTTCTACCTCATTTAACACTGTTGATCATGACTTACTAATTTGAGTAATACCGTTAGCAACATTAGCTTCCTAATACAAATCTTTTCTCTGTAAGATTGTCACAATGGTGGGTTTCAACATGCTGTTTGTATTAGTGAGATCAGTCACATGAATGCCATTCTCATGTTTCTCCACAATTTCCTTCTTTTTGTTGTAATTGCTTTTTTTACCTTCCCTTCCTTCCTTAGGTTCTTTTCTAGTTTTCTGGGACCATTTTGATAGCAGTAATTGTAGTGATTATATAAAGCACTGACTGAAATCACACCCACAAACATGTGATCTGGGCTCAAGCTGATGCTTATGTGTGCTTACACAGGCTTTTCTGGCGTCTATTTACAACCACATAAGTGGCTGCCATTTGGGTTGTAACTCAAAACTTTGGTCGTAAGTTAACCCTAAAATTCTGGTTGTAACCCAAGTTGTTCGGATATGAGACTGGTTGTAACTCAAGGTGTACTATATATCTTTAACTGTATATCTTTAATTTTATTGTCAATAATGCCGCAGTGAATGTGGACATGCAAATGTCTCTTGCATATATTGATTTCCTGTCCTTTGGACATATAACTAAAAGTGGGACTGCTGGTAGTTCAACTTTTAATTTTTTGAGGAACTTCCATAGTGCTTTTCATGTCTATACCAATTTACATTGCCATTAGCATTTTGTAAGGAGTCCCCCTTTTTCCATATCATTCCCAACACCTATTATCTTTCTTATGGCTTTCAATACAACAAAATTGTTTCATTATTAATTTTATTAATTTGTACATTTTAGAGATACATAGTGATCACATTCATTAGTAGAAGTTGTACCTGTACATGATATTCCTTGATTCTTCTTTTGTCAGTGAACTCTCCTCCCTTCAACCCCTCTTTCCCTTTTTATTTACAAAAACTTTGCTTCCATTTTTTTCCTACTTTTTCTTTTCCCTGCCTTCCTTTCTTTCCCCTCTTCTTTATGGCCAAGTAGTACTCCATTGTATAAAATAACTATGTCTTATCCATTTCTCAGTTGATGGGCACTTTGGTTGTTT